CCTCCGGGACCGGGGGACAGACCCCAGGAGTCCTGGCCCCCAGCCCCTCCACCCCCGCTCTAACCACTAGACCCCACTCTCCTCCCGGAACAGGGGACAGAACCCAGGAGTCCTGACTCCCAGCCCCTCCACCCCCGCTCTAACCACTAGACCCCACTCTCCTCCCAGAACAGGGGACAGAACCCAGGAGTCCTGACTCCCAGCCTCTCCACCCCTCGCTCTAACCACTAGACCCCACTCTCCTCCCGGAACAGGGGACAGAACCCAGGAGTCCGGGCTCCCAGCCTCTCCACCCCCGCTCTAACCACTAGACCCCACTCTCCTCCCAGAACAGGGGACAGAACCCAGGAGTCCTGGCTCCCACGCTTCTGCTTAATCCACAAGACCATCCTACCTTAGGAAATGTAGGTGGCAAGAGACAAACTTTCTCTCCCCCTAGTTTATTCCATCCGACCCCCCAGGGAAATCTTTATTCCACTCACTTCTCTGCATTTCCCGCTTCCGTCCCTTTCCACCCCACCAGCTCCGGCCCCGCTACACAAGCGTTCAGCTCCGTGGGCTACTGACCGGCCCGGCTGGGATCCCGCAGCTCGCTCAGGACAACCCTCGGCCTTCAGCCGCGGCTGGTCAAACACTGGAGCGCAACTGGACCAGCCACAGAGCCAGAGATTCCCCACCCGGCTCACCTGAAGAGCTGTAATTCCCCCGCTAACGGAGAGAAACGTCCCAGCCGGTCGCTTCCTCTCTGCCTCCCTCTCTTCTCTCTGCTTCTTGGCGGATGTTTGAGATTGAAAGTGAAATCGATTTCTGAGCGAGACAGGCTGGGGGAGGGAATAGCTGGTGTGGGACCCACTCCTGCGGGGGAGAGACGCTTTCGCACTTACACAGAGCTCCTCTTTGGGGCAGGGAAACTGAGGTCTGGGCTGCACGAGAGTTTGGGGGAAGGCAGCTTCCGTCAGCCCAGTTCTGTCTGTGTCCACACTCCCCCGAACTGAGAACAGGGCTTATGTCGGTGCAGTTACCCCAGTGTGGACACGGCGGGTTACCTCGGCTGTGGGCTCTCACTCCTGTCCATTTCATGGCTCCCTGCTTCCCTGCTCGGAGCCATGAAACGCTGTCACCCCAGAGCGAGTGGGGGGCTCCAGCGAAAGCCCAGCTGCCCCCTCCCTGGGGTTCTGGCTCCCTGCTCCAGCCGGGCTCATGCCCGGGCTCTGGGGCCCCTGTTCCCCACTGGGAGGGAGCAGGGAGCCGAGAGCCGGGGGAGCTGCACAGAGCTGAGTGGGTAAGTGGCTGTAAGTCTAACATACGTCTGGATGGACGTATGTTTGTAGGTTAGAGGAGCCCTTAGTCCATTTCCCAGCCCTCCAGGAGAGCTCGGGGCAGCTCGAAAGCTCATCTCTCTCCCCCACAGCAGCTGGGCCAATGACAGCGATTCCCTCCCCCACCTTGTCTCTCTAACATCCTGCGCCTGACACGGCTACCGCTGCCCTGCAAAGTTTTCTTATTGAAAGTGAAAACAGGAGGTAAAAGATTGATTTCACTGGGGCTTGGGAACAACACACAGAGCGAATTCCAACCCTGCCATGCCCTCTTTGCTGGGAATTGTAATAATTAGCTAGCAATAGGATGGGCCAGTCCATCAGAAATGAACTCTGCTAAGGTTACATTTCACGCCACGCAGGTAGAGATTTTAGATAAAACCATCGAATCCTCTTGCTGGAAGGCTGCAGCGTAACACGACTTCATTGCTTAGAATCCAGGACGATCACACACAAGAACCAAAACCAGAGAGAGACAAAGCAGGCTGCTCCAAAAGGCCGAGAGGCCCAGTTCACCCCACCTTGCTCTAGGCTGGCTCTCCACAGACTAATTCGGATCGCACACTTCCTTACAGAGTCCCCAACAGGCCAGCAGGCTCAGGAAAACCCCTGGGGATTTAAAGCAAAAGCTTGCATTTGTTAACACAGTGTGCGATACACCGCCGGTCTAGCCGTTCAGGGCAGAGCCCTCGCTTTTGTGTTCTTCCCACTGTACGTCTCCAAAGCCGAGGGACTGGTGTGACGTTACTGACATAACCTGTGACCATATAGATCATTGTTGCAACCACTGTTCTATATTTGCAGCAAATATTATACAAAGGTTGTTGTGTAAGATGTCTATGGAAAGGTGATGATTTGCTGGTTATGATGATGCTGTCTGGATGGGTGTAGTTGAAGTTATGAATATTGGCTCTGTCCTTGTACCGCAATGTGTTTTGATTCTAACTAGCCTCAGTGAAGCATTTGATCAGCTTCTTGAGAAGGGGCTATTCTCAGTAAGTGCCCGATCCATCAACACTTAATGGACAATGAACCTTGGGAGACTCCAATCCACATAAGAAGTCCTCCTGGGAACATTCAAGGTAGCATGTCAGCAATGGCTGTCGCCTGTAAAGAACGGAGTCATGCAGGGACGTGGGACTTGCCCATGGGACTCCAGACGGGTCCTTCCACCTGGAAGAGACTATAAAAGGCTGCTGCATCTCCTCCGTCTGGTCTTCAATCCTGCTTCTTACCTCTGGAGGGACTTTGCTACAAACGGACGCTCTGAACAAAGGACTGAGGACCCATCCCAGCGGGGGATGTATTCCAGAGACTTGATTTGAACCTGCAGTTTATTCTATCGTGGCTACAAGCCTGAACCAAGAACTTGGCCATTTCTGTATGGAATTGATTCCATTTAACCAATTCTAGCTCTCATCTGTATTTCTTTTTATAAATAAACCTTTAGATTTTAGATTCTAAAGGATTGGCAGCAGCGTGATTTGTGGGTAAAATCTGATTTGCATATTGACCTGGGTCTGGGGCTTGATCCTTTGGGACCGGGAGTGTAGTGAGGCGGTGTGGCTCCCCGCCGCCCCGGAGAGGGAAGAGCCCGTCCGGAGGCCGGAGTGGGCGGAGCTAGGGAGCTCTGAGCCCGCCCCTCAGAGGGTCAGGCAGCGACCCGGAAGTATAAAGGCTCGCCCTCAGAGCTCAGTAGGGACCCAGCCACCGGGGAGGCCAGACGCCTCCAGCCTAGCCCGTGACTGGGAAACCACCGCAGCACAAGGTGCCCACCAGGACTGGCCAGGCCTGCCCCGCGCCCGCCGCCCGGAGGCGCTGCCGGACGTGCCCCGCGCCCGCCGCCCGGAGGAGCTGTCGGACGTGCCCCGCGCCCGCCGCCCGAAGGCGCTGCCGGACGTGCCCCGCGCCCGCCGCCCGGAGGAGCTGCCGGACGTGCCCCGCGCCCGCCGCCCGGAGGAGCTGCCGGACGTGCCCCGCGCCCGCCGCCCGGAGGAGCTGCCGGACGTGCCCCGCGCCCGCCGCCCGGAGGAGCTGCCGGACGTGCCCCCGCCTGGTCCCTGAGCCTCAGGCCCCTGATTACTTATAATAAAGGCCACGGTGCTGGCGCAATGGCAGATTCCCAGCTATTTTTAACTGCGTAAGCTACCTCAGAGCTGGCGTGGGTCTGCCCCCCAGCTGCCGTCTCAGTGTAGACGGACCCTGAGTGTGAATGGCGTGTGCTGTCCAGGGAGCTAACGCAGCGCGGTACGAACTACCTGGGCCGGGCCTGCCCCGGCACGGCCAGCGAGATCAAGGGGCGTTTGGCCCCAACCACCTCAGGCCGGGCTGAGCATCCCACTAGGTGCCTAAAGCCCTTTGGCAATTTGCCTCCTCGGCCTGGTTTGGGGGGGGGGGCTCAGCCCCCACAGCGCCTGTCGAGTCTGAAAATCAGCCCCAGTGTCTCAAGGGGAGAGGGGTCAGAGACGCCCCCGGCTGCCCGCAGGCCAGCAGCTGGAGTGAATCGACAACTTGCAAACACCACAACGGATGCTGTTATTTCATTGTGCCGGTAGATGCACACACGCAGAGCTCGGGGGGACAGCAGGGACGGACACACACACACAGACACACACACACACACACACACCCACACACACACCCCTCAGCCGTGCAGAGCGTTCAGTTAAAAGCGGATTTCTCGGCGGGCTCGGCAGTGCCCGCGCCCGGCTCTGCAGACAGAGCCCCTGGTGCACATTCGGGGTGTTCTGGTCAAAGCAGTTGGAGTTAAATGCCCAGACTCCGCCCCGCCCCCGCT